AAAAGTCTACGGCAGGTTCGCGTCGTGTTGAACGCCGCCTGTGGCCCAGAATCGGCCCATCCTTGAACGATCCGGCCTCTTTGAAAGGGCCGATTGTTCAAGTTTGAACGATCCCCGCGGTGTCAGGAACCAACGCCGGGGTCGACACGACGCGAACCTGCCGTAGGCCTCCTAGTTGAGGTCCGAGTAGATGGGGTCGTTGAACAGCGCCGCATCGCCGATGCATCGCCGATGCGGCTCGATGTGCAGCCCGATGTGCTTCACGTCGACGTCGCCGATGCATCGCCGACGTCGACGAAGCATCGCCGGCGCATCGCGGATGCACTGCTGATGCATAGCCGATGCATGGCCGATGTATCGGCGATGCGGCGCGACCCTCCGACCCCATCTACTCCGACACCATCTACAAGACCTCTAACAAGGGGCCTCGGTATTTTTGTTAGTGCGCCTTATTTCAGCAGCCCGACTCTAGTCGTTCCGATCCTTGGTCTGCTTACGGCTTGTTGTGCGTTGCGCTATCACGGTCGTTCCAGACGGGTTTTCCCCGGGTTTGTTGGTGGCGTCGGCATCAAGGATGGCCCAGGATGGCTTACCGAACGTGCTCGCCCAGCGCTTGTTGGTCGGATAGCGATTCGCCGGATGCAATTCGGGTCGGGGGGGGAAAGCAGCACGGGGAAACGGGACAGGAGCCACGCCAAGAAGAGACTAGTGCGGCTCCCTTTTTGGGGGGACATCGGGGGCCTCTTGGAGCTCTCTTGTGAGCCTCTTGGGGGCTTCTTGGCGCTGTTCGGCAGTCTTGCGGGCGTCTGGGGCGCTCTCTCTGAGGCAAGCCGTGGGCATTTTGCAGCCTTCGGAAGTCTTCTTGCTCTTTGGGGGCCCCATAGGCCATGTCAGGGATATCGTGGGCTGTCTTGGGGGCCTCTTGGGGGGCTTCTGGGTCTTCTCTGGAGCCTCTTGGGGGCTCCTCGTCTTGGGGGCGTCTTGGGGACAAGCTGAATAGCGTGGCAGAAGCAGCACCCTCTTGGGGAGGCGTCTTCACGGCCTTTGGGAGTTGAGGTGTGGACCTTTGGTGTAAGGGTCAAGGGGGAGGCTAACCCTTCACTCAGGGGGTGGGAAGACTGGGGAGAGGATTTGCGTGAGCCCGCCCGCTATGGACAAGTGGCCGCCCAGAGGGGACTCCCTTGGAATTTCAGCAAACCGCATGTGCGCATCTAAGCGAGCTCGCGCACGTCTTTGATCGCTGAAGTGTGGTCTGTCTTGTGTTGTGCGCGTATGCGTGCGAATGCGATCGGTGACGGTTTTGCGCATGTGTGTTTGTGTCTCCGCCTTTGCGTGCGATCTTGGTCGGCAAAGTTCGGAGTGTGCGAGCAGCATGCGCAGCCATCATCGCAACATATTGGTGAGGCTTGGTCCGCAGCGTGATTGTCTCAAGTGGATGCTGAGTTTGTGGGTCGGGAGGCTTTATGTGCGCATCTCCATTGAAGGATGACCATATGCGGACACCAGCGATGCTCCCCACCTTCATGTTGCCACGGGCGTGCATGGAGGGGACCTGGGATAATCGACGAATATGGGATGAGCCGGAGGACGATGAGGAGGTGGAGGATCAAAACGGGGAGGGGGCGGGGATTGAAAGGGAACGCTGTTGGGGATTGATGGGGAATGCTGTATAGGCGGAACGTATATCATCGAGCGGAACGCTGTATAGGCGGGATTGACGGGGAACGCGAAGAGAAATGTTCGAGCTCCATGATGGTTCGGGACAGGAGCGCTAAGATTCCCCCCCCCGTGTTGGCCAAACGTGGCCATGATGCTTATAGTTCTGTAGTGGCAATGGGGGCGTGAATCCCGAATTGCGCATGTCGGATTCCGAGAACGGTTGGCTAGCACGTCTTATCCAGGTTGGCAATTGTCAGAGAGAAGCAGGTGGCAGAGAGACGAACACGTGCAAGGAGCAGGTCGGCTCTGTGGGGACACGCTGGAGGAGGAGTGGGGACACGCTGGAGGAGGATCTGGACGCCTCTTAGCCCAATCAATCCCGTTCTGGATTTGTGGTGGCTTCTCTTTTGGTGTAGCCAACCGCATTTTCGTGACAAGGCTTGAACATTTCCTTGCGCAGACAGCCCGGATACTATTCGGGTCTTGCGACCATGAGTGTTCTGATCGGTGTGGACCGCCCGACTCGAGATGTGGATGCGCACTGCTCCCGCTAAAGGGGGCCAGGGTGAGAGTTCCATTGGTCTTGTTGGCCAGAGTGTGGAACTGAGGAAGGTCCTCGTGGTCCTCCTCAACCTCGTGCGGCTCCTCCTCCTTTTCGCCTACACAGCCCTGTGTTTACGCTGATGTCGAGTCTGGCAGCTCTCCCCCCTCGCTCCCTGGAGCAATCTTCTACGCTCCTGTAGATTGCAAGCCCTTGCTGGGGAGCGGTCAAGCGGCAGGGTGTCTTACACGCACAGTGCTCTGGGAAAGACGCTGCAAGCAAAATGTTCGATGCGCCGAATGGGAGATTGCCTTGAAGCCGTGGGCAGAGGTGGAGGAGGGTCGGTTCGGCAGTCCACGAACGCTCACTGGCGAGGAGACTACGGGAAGGGGATGCGCGTTAAAAGCTCTGGCCACAGCTGCCCACCCAAGTGAACATGCCAGGCCGTCGGGTAGCTCTGGAAACGGGAGGTTGAGGAGGAGGAGGAGGAGCAACAGCAGCAGCAAAAGCAGCAGCAGGGCAGCAGCAACGCATGGGCAACAGCAAGAGGCATGGAATCAGCAGGGCGGACGAGGAGGGGTCAGCCAGAATGGGAGACGTTCCCCTGGAATGCTGGGGTGGACCCCCCCAGCTCACCCCTCGGGGGTGCCCAGGGCATCGTGGCCAAGCAGTTCTTGGAGTTCACAGGCGACAGCATGGCATACCAGGACACGCCCTGCCCTTCCGTCCCTCTCTCTCCTCCTCCCCTTCCCCGTCTGTCCTGTGTCTCCACAGACTGTGCTCCCCTCGCCCTTTGGTCCCCGGCCCCCGGGCCTCCCTGCCTTGGCTCGGACTGGCCTGCCCTTCCTGGCCCTCTGCTGCCACTCCTGCTCTCCTGCACCGGCTTCTGCCATCGCCCATTGCTCCTGCTTGTCGCGGGGGCGGCCAGGAGGGGGGTGGTGACTAGGAGGGGGTGGATATCATGGCGTGGGTCGTGATTTTCCCCAGATTTCATGGCACCTCTTCTTTTTTCATCGCGTCCCTGGCCCTCCCCCTGGGCCGCGCACGTGCCGCCGGCCATGATTTGTGCCCCCCCTCCTCTTGGACCCCCCCCTCTTGGCCGCTCCCGATTGTCCCTGCCCCCGTCTGCATCCCCCCCGGGCTCTCTTCTCTTTGCCTCGTGGCTGTTGAACCCAGAGCAGCCCGGCATTCCTACCCCAGCGCCTGCAGGGCTCACGTTTCGGTGTTGCATGCCGCCTCTGCCTGCGCAAGCTTCTGTGTAGCATTCACTCCTGCAGGTGTCCTCGAACCAGGACGCATATACAAGCCACTCGGTGTGAACCCTTCGCTGTGCTTCACCGTTGCCGCTCACCGTCCTTGTCACCTCCGAGCTGGTGCGCCCCCAGGGCCCCAGGGTCTCTTCATTCTGGTTTTCGGCGACGAGCGAGGGGGGGACACGAGAAGGGGCGGGTCTTCTCAGAAGGCTCGGAAGTCCCCAAGCCTTCTGAGAAGTTGTCTAAGCCTTCCCCGAAGACAAAAAACCTCTCCGAAGGCGCGAGGGCTTCTGAGAAAACCCGCCGCCTTCTGAGATGGCCTTCTCCTTCTCATTGCCCCCCTAGCTCGCCGCCAAGGCTTGCATGCCGGCGAATCCATTGCGCTTGTGGTCCAATCGGCACCGAGCATAAGTTCAAATGCGACGTGTTTGGACTTTCAGTGCGCCTGGTTTGCGCTTATGTCTCGGCCTTGAGAGGCCAAATTGGGAAGACTCCGTCTCCAGGTGTGTCGTCTGAAGTCGACCATCGTGACCCTTGACAGCTGTGCGCAGTATGTGACAACAAAGGCTCGGCTCATGTTGCGATCTTCGCCCAGGCCAGATTTGCCGCATGTTGGTCATGACTTATGATACCAGAGATATGTTTTTCGATGCCAGCGTGGCGTTCGCAGCATTCGAAGCAATCGATTCCCTGTCATCGTGTTGAATTCGTCGGTCTGGCGTGGCGACCTGGATTGTGTGAGGTCTCCTAGGGGCGTGAGTCCGTGGTGAGCGATACCTCTGCAGTATCCTGCCACACCCAGATGGCGCTTAATCTTAACATGTCATGTATCACTGTCAGCCAATTCTGAAACAATATCTTGGCGAAGTGTCGCCAGAAGGGAAGTGAAGGAGCAGTAAAGGGAGGGAACTTGTTAAATAGAAGGAGGGATCAGCCCAATCAGCCCCAACAGTTGCCATCTTGGGGCCCTCTGGAGGCTCTTGGAGGACTTGGAGCCGCCTGATGCTTCTCTTCGGGGGCCCCAGTGTCCGAGGCGGGGATTATCCATAGCCACCGCCTGGGGGATCGATCTTCGCGGACCTCCAGAGGCGGCGGATATGGATGCATGTATATATAAACATATGTATATATATATACAGGTATTCGGGGCCCGGTGGGCATATATATATATATATGGATCCATGTCCACCGCCCTTTGGGGCCACCACTTGACAGTGATCGCGGGCTGGCCGCACATGATCCAGATTCAGCCGCGAGTTGCATTGTGCATTATTTTTGTCAGGGATGGTAGCCCTGCGCGCAGCAGGCAATATGCTGACACCCCCGCCGTCCCCGCCAACAAACAATACAAAGTGCTCGTGGGCCTCACGAACATGACTCTGGACTTTGTCCCAAAGTGTACTTTGTATTGCTTGTTGACAGGGATGGTGGGGGGGGCCCTCATAGAGTTATCATTGTTCCTGGTTGGCTGCCGGTCGCCTGGGGGAGGGGGGGGTATATCAATAGGGAACAGTGATAAGCCTTTCCCCGCAGGGGAGGAATTGGGTTGTAAAGAGAGCTCTCTAGACCACCTACGCCCAGAGGGCAGGTGGGATTATGTGTTCGAAGAGCTCTGTGTTGAAACGTGTCGAACACTTGGTCCGTAGCCTTTCGGCTCATGCAAATTTGGCTCCAGGTGGGCTCAAGCGTTGCCCCCTGCGTGTGGGCCGTGCGGGGCGCCTGCCCACAGCCGCAGATGGGCAAGCCGTGGACGTTGGCTGTCCCTGGTGTGCAGACGACAACGCGCAAGCACCAGCCCGAGCCGCGAGAGGTGCTGGTCCCTGAGCGTTCGCGCGACTGCCATGCGCCTATCAAGAGCTACATCTTGGATAAGTTCGTGCTGGATTCGCAGAAGGAACTCATCAAATCACACGTGGACGTTTTCGTCTCGGATAAAGTCGTTAACGGGAAGTGTGTTGCGCAAGATTTGGTACATGCTGTTGTTGAGTGCCGTGGGGTAATCGTCAACAGCCAGATTCGGCAATGTACACAACTCTGAAGGCAGCTGAGGCATAGCCTTACCGAATTCTTTGGGGGGCGTCGGCAAAGGGGACGCGGAGCCTTCTCCGTGTCGCATGTTTGACCTTCCAATGCGACATTTTTCGGGAAATCGTGCCGAGCGACAGAGTCGTTCCTCGCCCCTTGTGTTACCATATATGCTTCATATGAGTGCGGCTGATGTAGGAGCACAGCTGCATCGCACACTGCCAGGCATCGCAGGGTGAACCTATGTTGAGAGGGCGTCCATCACCACATGGTACAGCAATGCTCTCACTTGCCCGGTGTATGTGCGGCGGCTGAGCCTGGCCGTTGCCTGACGCTGGTAGACCTGGTGGGGCAACTGAAAAAAAGTGTCGAACAATTGGTCTTGAACGGATTTCGATACGAGCGCGTGGCGGCGCGCGCAAGCGACCCGCATCATGTTAATTTATCCAGAGCCGGGCACGGGGCCCATGTTGAATAAACGCGGATGCGCCGCGTGGTAAGGTGCGATTGCGGGCTGAGGGCGAGACGGCCAACGTATTATGTCGTTCGCAACGGTTTCAGCATGTCCGCGCGGGAAGACCATCATCAGAGTAGCAACTGATCTTGAATGTGCTTCTGTGGAAGAACTTGCATAATTCATCTGTTTGGAATGAGTTCGAGATATGTTTGCGCGTGTGGGATTCGTGGTGTCGTTTAGAAGAATGTGCTTCCGACACCTTACTGTTGGAGATAAGCGAAAGTGCGCGCATAGCTTTTCTGATCTGACAGGAATGAGGTGTGGGGGGGGTCAATACTGGCCTGTCTGGAGCCTGCCTGGGATGGCTTGATTCCACATGAAAAAGCCGTGAGACAGACCCACATGTTAGATTTATTGCTCCAGGGGGAACCGACATGCCAGGGCTCGGGCGGGAGATCTCTTCATTCGGAAAGACGACCTGTGTGGTGCAGGCTGCGTTGTGCAACCTACCTGGCGCAGGCTATGTGGTCCAATGTGCGCGGTGCAAGCTGGCGCTCGGGACGCCCACGAGGCGCCCATGGGCGCCCTGCTGGGCCTCTTGGAGGCCCTCGTGAGGTCGCCTTGGGGCCCCTTTGCGCCGCCTTGGGGACTTCTTGCTGGTGTCGTCTCGAAGCCGTCCTGGAGCCGTCTTGGAGCCATCATCATCAGCATCATCATCAGCATCGTCAGCAGCAGCATTATCATCATCGTCATCGTTATCATCATCGTCATCGTCATTGACGTCGTCATCGGGGTGCGCCCCAGGACTGGCCAGGGCCCCCTGCAAACTAGCTGGGCCGCCCCCGCGGGGTAGACCTTGTAGGCAGTGGTGCTGCTTCGGCGGCCAGCGAGGGGGGACAGTGAGAAGGAGAGGGCCTTCTCAGAAGGCGGCTGAGAGGTTTTCTGCGTCTTCGGGGAAGACCCAGAAAACTTTTCGGAAGGCCGGGGGACTTCCGAGCCTTCTGAAAAGGCCCGCCCCTCCTCACTTCCCCCCCGCGCTCGCCGCCGATTGATGTCACGCACCGAGTGAAGCCCAAACGGGCCAGCGAATCTGCGGAGGCCGTGGCGGGCGCGGGGGCCGTGGCGTAATTGTTCGAAGCGGGGTCGACTGCGCGGGCACTCGCGCGCAGCCTGCCCACGCAAAGGTCGCGCCCGACCGCCCTCTTCAGTCCTTTGCTTCGTCGTTGTGTGTGGCATCCCTCTGCTCCCTCGCCCTGGCCCTGCCCCGAGATCCGACTTTGAGGAACAAAGTGTATGTATGTCTGGACCGTTGTTGACCCAGCCTGTGGTGGTCTGTGAAGGAGTGGCGCGGGAGGAGGAGGAGGAGGAGGAGGAGGAGGAGGAGGAGGAGGAGGAGGAGGAGGAGGAGGAGGAGGAGGAGGAGGAGGAGGAGGAGGAGGAGAGAGGAGAAGGAGGAGGAGGAGGAGGAGGAGGAGGAGGAGAAGACCGAGCCACCTTTCTGACGTCGAGGTCGACGTGTGAGGGCCCCGGGCCCAGAAGCTGGGCGGCAACGCCCCGCGCGAAAAGCAGCTGCAGTGCCGGGCCCCCCGGGCGGCCCAGCGAGGGCGCGCTCCCCGCGCGCACGCGCCCCGGCCCCGACAGCAAGACGTCCTCGCGAAGTTCCCCTGCTGCGTGCAGCCCATCGAGGACCTCAAGAACGCGATCAGCTTCTGGAAGGAGCCGCCTCCTCCTCCTCCTCCTCCTCCTCCTCCTCCTCCTCCTCCTCCTCCTCCTTCCTCCTCCTCCTCCTCCTCCTCCTCACTCCTCATCCTCATCCTCCTCCTCCTCCTCCTCCTCCTCCTCCCTCCTCCTCCTCCTCCTCCTCTCCTCCTCCTCCTCCTCCTCTCTCCTCCTCCTCCTCCTCCTCCTCCTCCTCCTCCTCCTCCTCCTCCTCCTCCTCCTCCTCCTCCTCCTCCTCCTCAAGAACGCCATCAGCTTCTGGAAGGAGCCGGCGCCGTCAGGGGTCCGCTCGGCCTCGCCCGTGGCCGCCGAGGCCACGCCGGTCGACATCTGCCCGCCGACCACGCTGGCCGGCGCCCGTGCGGTGTGGAGCGCTCGGGGCGCACGTGACTCAGGAGGGGAAAAGCACACACACACACACCATTCATCGTCGACCCCCAGGAAAATACAGGAACATATAGGGCAGTGTGGGGGAAACGAAGCCCCAGGAAATCTTGGGAAAGATGGGGAGTCCTGGGATGTGTGCCCATTTGCTTGTTTGCTCCTGGGCCCCTTAAAATTGACGGGGGCTCGTGCTAGCGGGGTCAGCCACTTCCCTCTGGCCGATCCCGGGTTTGGGAGCCACGTGGGGCTGGCTTCTCCCTCGCCGCCCTCCGCCGCCTCCTCCTCCTCGTCCCCCTCCTCCTCCTCCTCCTCCTCCTCCTCCTCCTCCTCCTCCTCCTCCTGCTCCTCCCCCTTCTCCTCCTCCTCCTCCTCCTCCTCCTCCTCCTCCTCCTCCTCCTCCTCCTCCTCCTCCTCTTCCTCCTCATCCTCCTCCTCCCTGTTTTGGACCCCTCCCCCTCCTCACCCTTTGCGCCATAGGGTTAGTGTTAAACTTGTAGGTTTGTAGGGTTAGGCTGCTAGGGGGTTAGGGCCAGGGTGTCAGAGTTAGGGTGTTGTGTTTAGGGCTTCAGGATTAGGGCGGTAGGGTTCGGGGGTAGGGTGGTCGAACTAGGGTGTCGGGGTGAGGGTGTTAGGGTTGGGGCTATAGTGTTCGGATTATGGTTTTAGGCTTAGGGTGTTAGAGTTGGGGTGTCAGGTTTAGGGTGTCAAGGCTAGGGCGTCATGAATAGAGAGATTGGGTTAGCGGTACGGGTTGTAGGGCTAGGGTGTTAGGGATAGGGTGCTACGGTGTTGGGGTCAGGGTGGTGTTAAGGTTATCGTGTTAGGGTGTTGGGGTGATGGTGTTAGGGTCAGGGCGGTATGGTTAGGGATTAGGGTGGTAGGGTTAGGATATTAGGGTTAGGGTGCCTGGATTAGTGTGACACGGTTAGGGTTAGGGTTATGGTGTTAGGGTTAGGGTGTTAGGGTTAGGGCGGCACAGGGTGTTCTGAATCGGGTTTCAGGGTTAGGGTGTCAGGGTTCGGGTGTCAGGGTTAGGGTGCCAGGGTGATGTTGTCAGCGATAGTTAGGGTTAGGGCGGTAGGGTTAGTGGGTGGTAGGGTTAGGGTGTCAGGGTGTTCGGAATCGGATGTCAGGGTTAGGGTGTGATGGTCATGGTGTTGGGGTTAGGGTCAGGGCGGTAGGGTTAGGGGGTAGGATGGTAGGGTTAGGGTGTTAGGGTTAGGTTGATATAGAGATAGGGTGTTAGGGTGTTAGGTGTTAGGCTGGCAGGGCCCGAATATTAGGTTTAGGTTGTTAGGGTTAGGGTTTCAGGATTAGGGCGGTAGGGTTATGGGTGAATGCTGTTAGGTGAACGTGCTAGGGTTAGGGTGTGAGGGACGGGGTGTTAGGGTCAATGTGTTGGGGTTATGGTGAAAGGTTGGTAGGGGTCGGATTCCAGAGCCACTGGGGCGGCGTGGCCAAGGGGGGGATTGGGGGTGTCCGATTTTCGAGCCCAAGGAGTCGAGAGGGGTGGGTGTCCGGGACGACGGATCGGGAAAGGGAGGAGGGGGGGGTTCTCCGGACGACGGGTCGGGGAAAGAGGGGGAGAGGGGGAGCGGGGTGGGTCCCAGACCGGCCCTCCCGCCTCTCCCAGAAGACTTTGTTGCCCAGATGGCAGTTGCAGGATCTGGTCCATCAGTTGCTGCGCAATCGTAAGAAAGGGGCTGTGTTCTTACGTAGAGGAGGCGTCAAGAACACCAGGAGGAGGAGGAGGAGGAGGAGGAGGAGGAGGAGGAGGAGGAGGAGGAGGAGGGGGGCAGCTCTTGCAGCTATTGCTGTATGCGCAGGCGATCTCCCTGGCGTGAGCCCTTTCCTGGCATTCGGCCTCTCTGTCTGGCCCAGTCCGACCACTCGGTCGGGTCCGGTTTGCGATCGCGACTGGGAAGCACTTGCCCACAAGCGCGGGATGTGTGTATGTGTGTGTGCGGGTGTGCGTGTGCGGGTGTGCGTGTGCGTGTGCGCGTGCGCGTATCAGCGTATGCGCGTGTGTGTGCGTGTGTGCGTGTGTGCGTGTGTGTGTGTGTGTGTGCGTGTGTGCGTGTGTGCGTGTGTGTGTGCGTGTGTGCGTGTGTGCGTGTGTGCGTGTGTGCGTCTGTGCGTGTGCGGGTGTGTGTGCGTGTGTGCGAGTGCGAGCGTGCGGGTGTATGTGTGTATGTGTGTGTTGTGTGTGTGTGCGTGTGTGTGTATGTGTGTGCGTGCGTGTGTGTGTGTGTGTGCGCGCGTGCGTGCGTGCGTGCGTGCGTGCGTGCGTGAGGGCGCGCGCGTGCGTGCGTGCGTGCGTGCGTGCGTGCGTGCGTGTGTGTGCGCGCGTGTGTGTGGGGGGGGGCACATGTAGGGCGTTCCGGAAAGGGCCTCGCCTTTGGCTCACCTCGCCTTCGGCGGCTGCCAACGGAAGTGGAACGCCTGCGGGCCCGCCTGTCGGAAGCTGGCGGCAGGCCCGCGGAAGGCGGCGGAATCAAAGGCGAGGCGTCAAAGTTGTGGGGTCCTGGGGTTCCGGAGCCAGCCACGTGTAATCCTCGCACCCTCACGGGGCCGATTCAGGCGCAGCGCGACCATTTCTAAGTTTCGGCGTCCTGGCGCCGCCGCCATTCCTTCCACGGGACGCTCGTCGAGCGACATTGGCGTTTGTCACACTTGCCTTTGTCCTTTTTCCATTTTCCTCGGTCCTCTCCCCATCTTGGAAATCAGTTGAGCATGCGCTGTGGGCTTGAGGTGCGGTGCTCTTCAAGTGCAGTGCAGTACAATGGCCATGGATCGGAGCAGACGCGTTGGCAGGAAAAGGGAGCAGCCGAACGCTGTTGAGAGCGGCCACAGGCGAAAGAGCACGGCCAAGCGCCGATGCCAGGATGAGGGCGATGGATGAAGACGACGGCGGATCAAATGATACACGGGCTCGGGGCCCAGTGATCTTCGAGGCTGGTGCAGAGAGGGAAGCCTCTCCAGGACCTGAAGCGCTGCGTCGACCACATCGCCCAGCCTCTCGGAGCCGAGGACGCGTCCGCACCGCTCTCCCCCCTAGTTGGGGCAGCTCGGCGCGGGGGCAGCCCTCTGAGAAGGCAGGAGAGGCCTCTCAGAAGGGATAGCGATCGGAGCAAGCTGGGGCGCTGAGATGGCCCAGCATTGGTTCCTGCGAGCAGGAATGGGGCCAGGTTCGAGGTGTTGGGTCGACAGGGTTTTTTGGGTGCTTGTCAGTCTGCGGGAGCCGTCTTCGGTACCTGGGA